CTTTGTTTGGTTGCTCTGTCTATACTTCTTGCCTGGCTACTGGCCAATCAGCATTTTATTAAATCAATATAAGTGACAAATCTTTACAGCATATAAAAGGATTATTTCACAGCAAAACCAAAAATAAAAAATAAGACAAATTAGTACTTTAGTGCTAGATAAAGAAGTATATACCTGTAATTCCAGCCCTGTTTCACACAAAAAGGAGAGGTCAGCAATACATCATTTTCCTAGCATGTGTGTGACTCTAGGTTCAAATCTCAATACTGCAGGAAAAAAGATGTGTACTTTTTTTTTTATTTAATCAAAGGATTAAAACTGAAATGGAATTTTTCCATAAAATAATAATAATCTGTATTCACATACTACTTGAAATGTAAAATTAAGAAATTTCATTTTTATTAATAGAGCTAAATTGAATATATTCTCAGCTCTTAAAGGAAATCTCAGCTTAGACACTTTGTAACTGACTTTTTATTTGTTCTACCCCCACCTTTTCCCCCTATTTCTTTGGCACATTTAATTGAATAATCACATACTCAGAGGATAGTAAAGGTTTCTTTGAATGAAGTAGTAAATTAGGCTTTAAACTAATTACCTGAAAAGTTAATGTGTATGTTTCTTAGATCATATTAGATGCCCACTTCCCATAGGAGAAGGTCTTACTGTGTATCCCTGGCTGTTCTGGAACTTCTGTGTAGACAAGGCTGGCCTTGAGCTCCTGGAGGTTTGTCTGCTTCTACCTTCCAAATCCTGGAATTAAAGATGTATGTCACTATGCCCAAACAGGTGCATTTTTAAAAATTACTTTATTTGTATGGGTGTTTTGCCTGCGTGTGTCTATACACCACATGTGTGCAGTACCCATGGAGGTCAGAAGAGGATGTTGGTTTCCCCTGGGACTGGAGATACAGACAGTTGTGAGTTGTCATAAATGTGAACCTGGGTTCTATAGAAGAGCAGCCAGTGTTCTTAATATGAGCCATTTACATGCATGTTTTAAAAAGGTGTATGTGTACCTTTATGCTTGTGTCATTGGAGGCTAGGAGAGGCTTTTAATTCCCTGGAGTTGGAGTTACATGCAGTTTTAGAGCTTCCTAACATGGTTGCCAGGAACTGAACTGTCGTTTGCAAGAGTAGCATTCTCTGTTCCGTCTCTCTAGCTCTCAGGTCCATGTTTTTGTTCAAGTTGCATAGTGCTATTTTCACAGACAATAAAATAGCAAACTTGAGATTTTTTAGCAATAACAGATAAGTTTTGTTTGTACTTACTGTTAGCATTATACCCATTTCTTTATCCCAGAATCCTAAAATACTATATTTTCTCATGTTGTATTTCTGAATTGCTCTTCTAAACATTAAATCTCATTTGTTACTATTAATGGTTTGAATGAAATGTCTTGTTTTTGTTTTTTATTTTTTGAGGCAGGGTTTCTGTGTAGCCCTGGCTATCTTGGAACTCACTCTGTAGAGCAGACTGGATTTGAACTCATAGAGATCACCTGCCTCTGCTTCCCAAACGCTGAGATTAAAGGCATGTACCGTCACTGGCAATGTGATTTCTAAAATGATAATAATAATAAAGATCCAGGTATGGTGATGCACATCTTAAATTGGCTCTTAGGGCAGAGGCAGGCGTGTCCTTTTGAGCTTGAGGCCAGCCTGTTCTCCATAGCGAATTTCAGGATGGTCAGGATTACATAAAGAGACCCTGTGTCAAGATATAAAAACAAAACAAATTATATTCTTAACTATGAATAGTATACTACAGAGGGACAGTATTTCATTAACTTTATAATTCAGGTTAGACATTACTTGCAGTATTATTAGATCTAATCTCATATTTTTACCCATGTATTCTGAAAGATAAATTCTGATAGTAGCTTCTCATTTTTCTGTTTTTCAGAAAATACCCCTCAAATTCCAGTGACTACTCCACAGATCTCTCCTAATAATGTGAAACGTACTGGACCTCGATTGTTGTTGATTCCAGTGCAACAGGGTTCTCCTACTCTTAGACCAGTTCAAAACCCACAGCTTCCAGGACAGCGGATGGTCTTACAACCTGTTAGGAGCCCAAGTGGAATGAATCTATTCAGACACCCCAATGGGCAGATTGTTCAACTTTTACCTTTACATCAGATTCGAGGCTCTAATACCCAGCCCAGTTTACAGCCTGTGGTGTTTCGGAACCCAGGTATTAAGTTAGAGATCTTTCTGATGGGTTTTGTTTTTGAATCACTTGACCATGTGGTGCATTGGGTATACTAGACTTTTTCTTTCTCAGTCTCTTAAACTGGGAATCATACCATAAGAGACTCGATGAGATGAGCAGTGGTGATTTAAATTCTTTCTTTTTTCTTACCAGGATCTGTGGTGGGAATCCGACTACCAGCTCCTTCCAAATCTTCTGAGACCCCGTCATCTTCTACTTCATCCTCTGCCTTCTCTGTCATGAATCCTGTAATTCAGGCTGTTGGGTCTTCTCCGACAGTAAATGTCATTACTCAGGCACCTTCGTTGCTTTCCTCTGGATCTAATTTTGTCTCTCAGGCTGGTACACTGACCCTGAGGATTTCTCCTCCTGAACCTCAAAACTTAGCAAGTAAAACAGTCTCTGAAAGCAAAATAACACCGAGCACTGGAGGGCAGCATGTTGGAACTGCTAGTCTCGTTCCTTTGCAGTCAGGTAGCTTTGCCTTATTGCAGCTCCCAGGACAAAAGCCTGTTTCTAGCTCCATTCTTCAGCATGTTGCTTCCCTTCAGGTAAAAAAGGAATCTCATAATGCAGACCAGAAAGATGAAATAAACTCCATCAAAAGAGAGGAGGAAACTAAGAAAACTCTAACATCAAAAGAAGAAGTTGTAGACACTGAGACTGATATAATTAAGCAAAACTCAGGAATTAATGCCTCAGAAGATAACTTGAATGATTCATTTGATGATGGGGGTGATCTTTTGGATGAAGAAACCCTTATAGAAGACTCCAGAACTTATGAACACTCTTCTAGCACTGGGTCTCACACAGATGAAGACAAAGATGGTGATGAAGGATCTGGGAACAGGAGTCAGAACAATCCAAAGGAAAAACAGACTCTCCTGGAAGTTAGGAGCATTTCTGAAAAGGTCAATATGATGACAGTCCAGCATGCCGGAAAAGCACGGCCTCAAAGACGCGCTGGGGTGAAGATGGAACAGCAGCAAGGATCCGACAATCCAGAGGACCCAGATGAATTTCTATTCATCACTAAGGAAGAAAGTAAATTTGAATTATTAGGGACCCAAGTTAAGGAACAGCAATCTAACTCAAAGGCAGAGGCCAAGAAGGATTGTAAAGATTCTTTGGGAAAAGACAGTCTTAGAGAAAGATGGAGAAAACACTTGAAGGGCCCCTTAACTCAGAAGTACATTGGAATTTCACAAGAATCTAAGAAAGAGGCAAACATGCAGTTCTTTACAGAAACAAAGCCATGTCAAGAAAATTCTGACCGGGACATCTCTGATTTCCTTGGGAAAAGCGGAACTACTGAGAGTGATGTAATCTTAAAACCTGAGGGTAGTTCTTGGAGTAGCATTTCTAGTTCTGCAGCCTTCTCTATCATTCCTAGGAGAGCTACAAAAGGAAGAAGAGGGAGCAGACGTTTTCAGGGTCATTTCCTACTCCCAAGAGAACAGATAAAACCAAAGCAAGAGACAAAGGGTGGGAGAAGCAGTGCTGACTTCACTGTTTTGGATTTGGAAGAGGAGGATGAGGAAGATGAGAATGAGAAAACCGATGATTCTATTGATGAGATTGTGGATGTTGTTTCTGGCTACCAGAGTGAGGAGGTTGATGTAGAAAAGGTGGTGAGCCCATTTTTGTTGTGACTGAAACCTCATGGATTTAAATGATTAGAGATAGTAGCTTTTCTAGAGTATCACTAATACCTAATATATTAATTTGGTTGCCTAAGTTTAGACATTATTAAATGGCTAGTGTTTAAGGCAACACCGTGTCTTGCTTGTTGCTATTATAAAGGTGGCTTGATCCTTTGGAGTAGAGATGGTATAGAGTGCTTACCAAGGTAAATTTAAAAGACATCTTGTATCTTTTAAGTCCCTGTAGTTTCTGTCACATTGTTTGTGATGTGGTTGACACTTATCTGATAACAGATAAAATAAGAAACAATGAATGGGGGCATCTTAGAAATGGAAGAGAAGGAGTTTAGAGGGAAATTTTTTTTCTAGGAGAAAAACGTCAAAGTACCTAGTACTTCAATATAATCTTGTCCAAAAATTGCTTTGTTAAGTATGTTATAGCTATAATTTATATAGTCTAGACTTTGATCATTGTCCTTTACAATGTGACTTTTATTATAGTTTTATGTTTTAATTCAAGTTCTTTTCATTTTTTGAAAGGTTTTCTATTTAGGAGTCTCTTAACTGAATTAAGTAACTGAGGGTCTGGCATGATAGAGAGCAAGACATTATGTTTTTTCCTATAAAAGGGCCAGATGGTAAATATTTTACGCTTTACAGATTAAATGACTCCATTGCTGTGGTAGTATGGAAGCAACCACAGACATGAGAGTGAATGAATGTGGCTGTATTCCAGTAAAACTACAAAATATGCTGTGGGCTCTGGTTTCCTGACCACTATCATAGACAGCTGCTTCAGGAAGCCCGGAAACTTAATGGTCAACTCTCTTCAGGATCAGATGATCGGAACCTTTGCACCAGTTATATTTCAGATTCTGTCTTGAGATATATTTAGTTCCTGTATCTACTGGTATTTCCTTGTTAATACCTAATTGCTTTATCAATTGCAACAAAAAGGTAGTGTTTTTAAACTAAGATAGCTGAGTGTGGTGGCACACTCTTGTGATCCCATATCTCTTGAGTCAGAGACAGTAGGGTCTCTTGAATTTGAGGCTGACTTGGTCAACCTTGAGTCCCTGTCTCAGAAACAGTCCCCTCAAAACAAACAAAACCAAAACAACCCTCTAAAACATTTTAATCTCGTGCTTGCTTCGGCAGCACATATACTAAAATTGGAACGATACAGAGAAGATTAGCATGGCCCCTAAAAAAAACAAAAAAACAAAAAAACATTTTAATCTTGTGTTATATCTGTACTTCAATAATTTGACTTATATAGCTCTAAAATTGGATAATTTATATATGTATTTGCCTTATACTTTTTCTGTAGGCTAATCTTTTTTTAGGGATGTAAATCCAAGAATATGGAATTTGTAAGGTTCTATTACAAATCTACTGTATTTTTACAGTCTCCTTTTTTGGTTAGTCTAAGTAATTGCATCAATAAACAAAAACAAAACAGTCCAACTTTAAAATTAGCGAGGACTGTAGCTATCAGTGGAACTAACTTTGAAGAACCTGTAGAATGCCTTCATCTTACAGGGGCTCTTGCTTGGATATACTAATAATCTTACAAAAATTTTACACTGATTCCTAAAAGAAAGCATGTGAATGATCTCTAAAGAGTCTAAATTCTGTATCATTTATATGCATGTACCATGTCAAAATTTTCTTGACACTTACTACTAGACTTCTGTTTGAATGGTATGAGGAAATAACTACTTTGTCTTCTGTTGAGATTATTAGATACTATTTACAAAGCCTGCAGTTAAAATCTGAAGTAGATGGATGTGGGGTGCAGGCCTATAATCATATATGTGAGGAGGTAGAGGCAGGAGGATTGCTGATTTGAGGCTATCCTCAACTACATGTGTCATAAATCTATGAAATAGGCACACACCCTTCAGTTCAAGTGTTATAAATCAAACCTACATTAGTAACTTTAGATTCTGTTCATTTTTGTTCCGTAGGAGTAATTATAATATACATTGTCTAAATTTAACATATATTGCTTAAATTATGCTTACATTGAAGTGGGCACCATAATGATAGCTTGTATTTAGTGTCTATTAGCCTTATGGAGCCTTTAATTTGGCGATGATTTTTCCAAAATTATAAATGTGTAAGAGTTTTAATAAGGTGATTGGGATACCTCATTTTGAATTATGCCTCTGAAGTGCACTGCAAATATATATAAAGATAATACGTTTTTAGTTTCTGATGTAGTAATTACTGCTTTTAAAGATGGACTTGAAAATATCTGTCTGTCTCACATCATGCATATAAGTTTATAAAAGAATTGGATGAGTTTCTGGGACAGGTGCTCAGTTTTACTCAGTTGCCTCTGTTCTAGTATTATAGGGAACTACACTTGGGATTACTTTTGAAAACTGAAGTTCTTTAAAAGCTCTTACTCTATGGAGTTGTATCCCATTTCCATGTCTGTCTTATATTAATGTGTGTAGATTTATGGGCATTTGATCAGATATTAGTTGTAAAGCACCCCTTAAAACAGGCTTTTATGGGTTTGGAGGAATGAGGGGTTCAGCATATTTGATCTTAAGATTTTATTCAAAGCCTTAATGCATCACACGTGAATGCTATCCTCTAGAAATAATATCAAAACATCAAATATAGCCTTCTAGAGACTCTCCAGCCTAAGGTTAATGATAGCCGTTTAATATACACCTATTACTTAATATGGTTGTTGATGTTAACTCTAATTGTGTTAACTTTCTTACATAATCTCTTTGTGTGGTTATAAGTTCAGGTTAGGTAATTCTTTCTTTGGAACTAGTTGGTTTATTAAGGGAGCTTGCATTTGAAAATTTGAGGTATGTGTCTCCCAATACATTATTTACTGTTCTAATAATATATTTCAGAATAACTATGTAGACTATATTGAGGATGATGAGCAGGTGGATGTTGAGACTATAGAAGAGCTCTCAGAAGAAATTAACACTGCCTACAAAAAGACCACAACAACTCACACATACTCCTTCAAACAGCAGTAAGTAATACTTAAAACCTTTGGGTTATTTGGAACCCGAGATGAAACCAAATACTTTATTTAAAAGCCCTGGGGAAAGACCCACTTCCATTATTTTCTTAGGGTTTATTGGTTTGTATTCTGATTTTTCTTTCCTCCTGGATAGTTTAGATGAGCCATTGAAATAAGGAAGTAATTTACTTGCTTTGGCCTTTGCTAGCAGGTAGCATGTAAATATGAGTAACATGCTTTAGAGACTGGTACACTTGTGTTTAAATACTAGTTTTTATGGTAGTCCTTGGGAGATAGAGGTTGAGGCAGGCAATCTCTTGAATTTGAGGCTAGACTGGTCTATATAGTTAGTTCTAGACCAACCAGAGCTATACAGTGAGATCCTTTTTAAAATAATAAGTAAAAAAAGGAAATACTGGTTTTGAAAGTTTATAGGTATTTAACCTTGGACAAGGTTATAATTTCTTTGAACCAATATGCCCTCTGTTTAGAGTATAAGATGAAATAGCATACACATTTTCCATAATTTCTAATATGAGTTGATTACTCAACAAGTTAGTTGTTCTATATTTTAGTAATAAAGCATTAAAATTACAAATTTAGTTATTGTACTAGATGAATAAATGAGATACAGGTATGAAATTCTACTTATGTCACTGATAAAAGACTCAGGAGTGTGCTGTGGTATGATATCTCACTATGTTGGAAGCTCTGTAGGGATTGGGGATTGGCATGAAAACAGACAGGAAGGAAAATCCAGTTTCTTTATCTTGTTTCCTAAGACAGTCTCCAAGTGACTATCTTTACTCCAGAGCTGTTTTACAGGTTCCTTCAGTTACCTATTGCCTAAGGTGAACGTGTTTAAATCCCTTAAAACTTAATTATATTTACTAAATTCAGTAGTGTTTCAGACAGCTAATTGGAAAGTTCTGCATTTTAAACCCAAGTTACTATACAGCAACAAAGAAAAATGTAATCTTAAAAATAACTTTTTTAAACTAACCATTTTCAACAGTGACAGCAATAAAAACTTTCTGGGAATATAGTTTCATAGGCTATAAATGTGTAAAAAGAAATCACTGACAATTTATATACTATTCTCTTTTTTTAATTTAAAGATTTATTTATTTATTTATTATGTATACAATGTTCTGCCTGCGTGTATGTCTGCATGTTAGACAAAAGAAGGCACCAGATCTCATTACAGATGGTTGTGAGCCACCATGTGGTTGCTGGGAATTGAACTCAGGGCCTGTGGGAGAGCAGCCAGTGCTCTTAACCGCTGAGCCATCTCTAGCTCCACATATACTATTTTTTCACTGTGGTTCATAAAATGGATTTTGATGTGCCTTACAATTCTTATATTTAAAAATGGTTTTGGGCTGCCTTGGTGGCTCATACCTGTACTGGAAAGGTTAAGGTGAGAGGATCATTGCTAATTCCAGGCCAGCCAGGACTACATGGTGATACTTCTGAAATGATTGCAACCATGTATATATTTCCGTAATATAGCTGTCAAGCTGTGTAAAGCTTGAAGAAAATTATATTGAGACAATGAAGAATTCAGTAAATACATATGCCGTGTTATTAGATTGGGATAATAAAGAGCCAAGAATAACTGACTACTATGCAAAGATCAAAAACTATAAAAGAACAGAAATTAAATTTAAAGACAGAAACAGATCTCTTTGAGTTTAAGGCCAGCTTGATCCACACATACCAAGTTCAGAACATTCAGGACTTCATGATGAGACCCTGCCAATAAATAAACAGTGGATGAAAAACAGTCATTTGTAATCTTAGTAACTATTTGGATAGTAGGGAGAAAATGTAATATTGAATAAATTGTGGCTATCTAGTATACCTTGGAGAAAAATGGTTGTAATTTAGGAACTTTGGCATGGTATAGTTTCATAAAGATGTGAAATAGATTTATGTTAATGGATTTCAGTGAAACATTAAAACTCCTTTCTTTATCTAGGTGTCATAGCCATATCTCTACAGATGAAAAAGCTTCTGAAAAGAGTCGAAAGGTATTTAGAATGTATTTAATAGAATTGTTTAATAAAATTGGTAACATTTGTTTTATGATTAAAACATAAGATCTGTTAGTTTATTTTTTAAGGACTTTTAATTTATTAAAAGTAACTTGGCCCTTCTACAAAATTATGCTACCTGCTCTTTTCCTTTCTTAATTCTACTCCTCTCAGAAGATAGAATAAATTTGGAGGAGTTAAATGAATATAGTTTATGAAAATAGATCTGTTTATTTGAAAAAATACATATTAAGTAAAATAATAGATTTAAAAATTAAGACATTTTGCCGGGCGGTGGTGGCGCACACCTTTAATCCCAGCACGCGGGAGGCAGAGGCTGGCGGATCTCTGTGAGTTCAAGGCCAGCCTGGTCTAGAGCTAGTTCCAGGACAGGAACCAAAAGCTACGGAGAAACCCTGTCTCAAAATCAAAAAAAATAAATTAAGACATTTTTAATCCAAGATTAAAATATGGAAGATTTACTATCAATCCCTACCCCACTCCTCCCGGAGACAGGGCTTCTCTGTGTGTCTCTAGCTGTCTGGAAACTTTCTTAGACCCAGCTGGTCTTGAACTCAAAGGGGTCCTTCTTCCTCTCTCTCCCCGAGTGCTAGGGTTAAAGGAATGCTACCACGCCTGGCTTGAAAACAATTTTTAAAACATGTTCAAAAGGAAGAATAGCAAGAAAGATACAGATATTAATAGCATTTTGAAAGCAAAGGGACAAGATGTGTTATGCATGTTGCTCAAAATGAATAGAAAAACTAGAGTTAGAAACTGTATTTAGAGAGTGCTGAGATACACAAGAGTAATGTGAACAAAATCCTTTTATGCATAGGAAAAAGTCAAAAATCATTGGCAACAGCAAAAATAAGCTTATATTATTACTTAAGAATCAAAAGAAGCCACACATAAACATGTGACACATTGTCATTCCTGAGGATCCTGCTAGAGGTGAAAGGCGTATATCCAATATACTTGGCATGTATTTACAACTTTATATATTGTCGGTAATTTCTTTCTAAAAATACATTTTAGGACTGATGAGTTGGCTCAGCAGTTAATAGCATGTACTGTTTCCAGAGGACCTAAGTTGGGGTTCTAGCACCCATGTCAGGCTTGGAACCACTTGTAACTCCAACTCAGTGGGGATCTGATGATTCTGGCCCCTGCTGGCACCTGTACTCAAGCCCATGCAAAGCCCATA